CAAAACGAATCTTGCAAAATAGATATGGGTTTAGTGAGGATCAAGTGAATGACTTATTCTCTATCCAGAAAAATGACTAATGTGAAAATACCTATCGTGAAAGTGCCTCTGGTAAAACCTTAAATATTGTGATTTCTAACAAACCCCCAAAAAGAATAGAGGAGACTATTGGAGAGATGGCACAACGGATTTTACAGGATAAACTTACTATTAAAGATGTAAGAGCTGAAGCTTATGCCTTAGCCCTATCAGCAAAAAATGCTAATGCTAGTTCATCACATATTTTCCGGCTTCAAAGAGAATTAAGAAATATTGGTGCTTCACCCCCAGATTATCGAGGCCATGAAATTTTCAGATATTACAGAAGAAGCTAACAAAATCCAGATGAACAATCAGAAAAAGGCTGAAACTAAACGTATTGATTATCCAAATGAATTTACATTAGAATCGGTTAAGGAAAGATTAGATGCGTATGATATTAAAACTTTACCTAATTATCAGGCTCTTGCAAATGTCATGGTGATGCTTTGTATCCGTCCTGCTGAACTTAGAACTTTACGTATTATAGATGCCGGAGTAACAGGATATGCGAAGAATCGGGGTCAACCAGATATACCTAGAAAATTTAGATCTATGGAAAAAAACCAAGAACGTGCCAGAGAATTACTCACTTGGATATAGCGTGTAATATTTTCTGGCCGAATAGGTGATCCAGGTAAGCCAGGAGTTAAATGGTTTAATAAATCTTTAAAAGACTATGATTTAATTCCTAAATATTTACGTAAATTAGAAGCAGTTTATGCTGTAGTGATGAATGGAGCAAAAAATATAGCACACGCTTATACAATTGCTGGGGAAGCACTTCGGCATTCTTGTGACAACTATACTTCTCCAGTACAAAACTACATCGTAGTAAACTACAGGAAGCGGGAACAAAAGCGAGACCATTCCATCTCTATAATAATGATAACTAATCACGCTTCTTTGCTTTCACCACTTTCACAGTAAAATCTTCATCATCATTCGATGATTCAGAACTAGACCCAGATTCAGATGTGGATGAGGACTCAGATGCGGTATCATTAAAAATTGGTTTTTTTCTAGCTTTGCATGGAATATGTTGTCGAGAAATATCCGGGTTTGCTATTGCGTTTATAATATTTTGCTGAATCTTGGGTTTCACTATCTCCAGTAATTGGCAGAGAGAAATCTGGATTTTTTTTACCCAATACTTGCTTAACAATATCAAATACCACTTTATTAGTAATAGATAAACTTTTATCTTTTTCGAAATCTAATTTTTTCGCAATCTCATAAGTGATAATTAGACATTCTGAACATGAATCAATTACATTCTGTTGCTTTAACACTAATTCAATATTACTATTTTCAGTCATTGTCTATGTTAAATTATTTATTAATACACAATAAAAATAATTTATCTAAATCAACGGAATCTAAATCTGGTTTAGCTCAAGAGGAGGTTATGAATATAATTAACAAAATTCTCTAAATATTGGAGATAGACCCAAAGGGTTATTGCTTTGCAACATACCTTCTACACATCTACCATTCAGAAGATTAAATGACGATGTTTCCAAAAATAAGAGTAAGAAAAATAATGTCAAATATTCCACAAATAATTCTTCTAATTCAGACACTTCAGATAGCAATTCAAGTAATTCTTCCATATCTAGTTCAGAAATAGAAGTTACACATGCGCATAAGACTAGAGCAGTAAAGAAACGCCCTATTCGAAAGCGTGAAGTAAAA